TACATCATCGCGCGCGCGCGCGCGCACATACACACACACGCGGGGAACAAAAGAGGTGGGGTGGGGGTGGTAGGGGGAGAATTCGATCGACGTATTTTCAATGCGATTAAAAATAAACCTCTCCCCTCGCGCGTGCCTTATCTTCTCTCGCGCTTGGATTGCGACGCGACGCGACGCGACACGGCGCACGTTGCTTTCCCGAATGGAAACAAATTACGTATTTTCCGCAGAGGAGAGATTTTCATCGGTCAAAGCGTCCATTGACGGGGGGGAGACTCGTCAACACCGGGTCGCCATCAACACGTGGCAACCTGTTTGCAACCGACAGCTCGATCGATCGAGGTTTGGATGAGTGGCGAGAGGCAACCGTTAACCGTTTCGTAACCGATCGTTGTCGATCGACGACAAACAAACGAGGACGCGACGTCCTTTAACCCGGCGATCAACCGAACGCAACCGAAATATGTATTCGGTTCGAATATACATGATCAGTGATGATCGAGATTTCGTTGCGAATCGATGGGGCGCGGTGATTCGCGTTTTTCTCTTTCTAATTTTTCTTAAATTAATACTCGGTTTGTTGAACGCGTCGCGGTGCCGATTCGCGGTCCCCGCCCAATATTTACACATTCGGTGGCACGTTCCGTCTTTTCATCTGGAAACAGAGAGAGAAAGAGAGAGAAAACCGAAAATACACGGTCGTGGGTTTGACGTAGAACGGTTTGCCGTTACGTGTATAAGCAACCGGATAAAATCGATCCCGTATTTGTTTCTTTTTGTCTCCACACTCTGGGAAACGATAGCCCCCGTCCGGGTTGACTTCTCGTCTCTAAACAACAGCTTCGATTTTCCCAGCTAAAACATCCACTCCTTCCTTAAATTTGAATTTCCTTTTTCGAATTTTCCTCTTTTCGAAATGAATCGGAAAAAGATGGTGGTGGGAAGAGCGTCGCTCTCCTTTCCAACGCCGGACGGTATACTCGACGTGGATCAAATTCTCGACACGGATCCGTGGAAACAGATCGACAATTTCGTGCAACACAATTTCAGGCAAAATTTGTTGGACGAATTTAACGAACGGTTAAAACTTAATCCCACGATCGCGCCATCAGGTAAGGAAAATCGTTTCCTCCCCTTTCCTCTTCCATTCCCGCGCTTTTTAACTCGACCATTGTTAATTAACGAGAGTAGAGAGTAAGAGCCCGGCAAAGAAACAGGGAGCGACGTCGTCGAGAACGCCCCGTAAAGAAACAACGGCAGCGAAGCCGAAAACGAACGGAGGGAAATCGGCGGTGAAGGAGAAGAAAGGCGTTGATCGCTCGAAACCGAAGGAGCCGAAAGGAAAAGGGATCGGGGGGAAGAAGGAGGATGGAGGAAAAGAAGCTTCGAAGGGGAAGGCGAAGGAGAGCAAGGAAGGTGGCGGCGCCGTTAAGGGGGGAGAAAAGAAAGGGGAGAAACAGGCGAAAGTCACGAAGGAAAATAATAAATGCGAGAAACGAGCGACGACCGGTTCGCAAAAATTGAATTCGATCGCGAGGAAAAGTTCGATGGGGATATCGTCGGCCCAGAAGAAGAACGAGAACGTCGTTGCCGTCCGTGCGAGCGAAAAATCGACCAAGAGCGAAAAATCGATCAAGAGCGAAAAATTAATCAAGAGTGAAAAATCGACCAAGGGCGAAACGGCGGTGAAGAAAAACGATAAAATAGAGGTCGAGAACGCGGGGGAGGGGAACAAAAGCTTGATGAACAACGGTCTCGATAAATCGAGAAGCGTTTCGATTTCGATGTCGCAGCTTAAAACAAGCACGCCGAAACGTAACGTTCCTAGTATCAGCAGTTCCATTGGGAAGGAAAATGCTATCGCGAGGTACAACGTCTCGGCGTCGAGGGGGAATTATTCCGCGAGGAGCGACGTTTCCGTGAAGAGGATGCACTGCACGTCCACGATTTGCGCGAGCAAATTAGATTTGAACAACAACGAAGGCAAGATCGAGAAGAAGGTGGAGAATAAAGAAACGAGTGTGGCGAAACTCGAGCATAAAAGTATGATTTTGGGAAAGATTAAGGAGGAGACAACGCTCGGGAGCAAGGAAATATCGAGGATATCGATGGATGAAAAAAAAATGTTAACGTTGAGTTGCAAAAAAGAAGCGTCGGCAGGTAAGCGTGTTTTGGTTTCCGACTTTTTGCGCGTATCGTCATTTCGATATAATGGACGATTTTCGCCCGACAGAGAAGAAGATTGGTAAGCACGAGAAACGTTTGTTGGAGCGGCGAGAAAAGCGACGAAAAAGGAACATAAGAAGGCACGAAAGAAAAGCGGAGCAAGCCATGGAGGAGTTCAGCCATCACGTTACTCGCATCGTGAAAAAAATGGGTTATTTGTCGGGTAGAGCGTTTATTTGAAATATCTTTACGAGTAACGATATGTTTCAACGATTATCCACTTGAAATGTTTTCTTGCAGAATTCAGTTCGTGTTCCAGTAGCGAAGATGACGTTAGCAGTTATTCCGATTCCTACGATACTTATTCCGAATCCTCGAAAGGATCGTCTTACTATTATTCTTACTCTTCTCGTAGCTCGTGTTCTTGCAGCAGCTCGTCC